CTTCATGATGAAGAAATAATTTGAAAATGAAAGTAATACTTAATATGTGTCTAATGCATTCACAGGTAGACTTATTGTGTTACTTTCAACTAAACCTTTAGCTTAGGGTGTCTTCCAAAGCCATGCATTCTGAGGAAAGACAGTACATAGGCTAGGGAAGACTCTGCAGTCTAGAATGAATGAGTTTACCTTACCACAGTGCATGCCATTTTTTATCTTGGGTTTTTATTTATTTAGAAAACAAGATCTCACTATGTAATCGAGGCTGGTCTTGAACTCATGATGTAGGCTAAGCTGGCCTCAGACCCACAGCTATCCCCTTGCCTCAGCCTTCCCAGTGGTGGAATTACAGGTCTGCACCACCATGACCCACACATAGATGCCACTGTGAATTCATCATATTTTCACTTTTTCTTCAATACAGAATTCTCAACCACATGACTCTCAGCAGATGCTTTTCTTTTCAATACGGAGAACACACCAACACATCAGGCCAAATTTCCTCCATCTCCAGCTTCCCCATAAACACATATGTAGATTCTTTCCCTCTGCTTATTCAAATTATAACTGACTTGCATGTCCTCTGTCTTTTCAATTTATTCTCTACACAGTACCAGAAATGGGTTTTCTGAAATATAACAAGTACTCCCAAAAGCTACTTTTCACCAATTCACCACAAAATGAGAAAATGGCCATCTAGTATATTTTTCATAAAGCTCAATATGTTCATTTGAAAATATCTGAGCTTTATGTCCTTTTTTAATGTTAAAATGCTCTTTCTTTAACATGTGATAATGATAGGAAACTTTTATTTTCTCGTTCTATTGCCTCCTCTCCCAGTTTTTCTTACCTTATTAAAGCACATCCTTTTTTACTCATTTTCTCTGTTTAAAATCCTAGATTTCAATGTAAGTTATTTTTTTCTTTCTCCATCTATAACCAATTTATAAACAGAATCTTTTTGATCTACCTGTATAATTATATTTCCTTCTGGCTATTTATGAATCAAGGATATAAAATAAAAGAACTAAGATAAAAGTCACAAAACTGTAAGATCAAAAAGGATAAAACCATCAGGATGTTTCTTAAAAATAAGAAAATTAGAAACAATAATATTGAAGCTAAAAATTATACCTGAGAAATATAGTTTAACAATTAAAATAGAAAAGATAAAAATTTGAATTTGAAATTAGATAAAATGTTAAAATTGAAGTAATCAAAAAAGGTAGCTGAGAAACAATAGCTGTGAACCTAGAAAGAATACATATAAATAGGAGATAATCTAAAATAGTAGAAATTTTCATAGACATAAATTAAATATGTGAGTCAATGATGCTTATAAGAAAGGTTTTGTGACAGTGAAAGTGAAGATCATGACGTCAGCACACGTGAGGTACTGGGGCTGTGTTTTCTGGGACCAACATTACATAATTCTTCCTGCAGAGCAGCAACATCTCTGGAACTGGCATTCGTCTCTGGCCCACCGGACAGACAGGGGAAACAGTGTGCAGAAGGACAAAGAGGCAGCCAAAGGTTTACAATAAACTTTGCTCATTGCAGTATAACTCGATTATATGAAGGAATCAGATAATTAATTCTTTAGCAGCCCAATTTTAATCCATGAATTTCAGGTTTAAAATTTCTGCTATATCACTTTACACTTACCAGATTGAGAAAAAATTAAGCAATCATATTAATTACTGTTAGGGACATCTAGGCAGCAGTTTTCTCTCACCCACTGCTAATAGCTTCGTGGAAGAAAGTCTGGGAAGTTAATCGTTTATATACTTTTCTGTGGCAGACACTGTAAATTGCCCAGCCATAAAGAAAGCCACTGCTAGCTCTCCACTGAGCCCTGATACAGAATAACAAATAGATCATCTAGGGGAGATGGAAAAAGGAAAAAATCTCCCCTATTTTATAGCCTGTTTAAAACTACAGATCTTGTAATGGAAATAATTTTGAAATGAGATAGAAGATTTATAAGAGTCTCTAGGTTTAATGTTTCCTTTCTCACCTACAAGATGATGAACTCAGTCAAATTACATATTTCAGCCATGTACTGCTCCAGTCACTGACTACTGAGAAAGTGGTACATGCAAGATACTGTGTTAGACCTGTAAGTAACCAAATGAAAAACACTAGTATTACAATAACTGATATTTACTGAGCCCTTCTTTTTTTCTTTAATATCTTTATTAGAAAAGAGAGTGTTCCATTTTTTATTGCAGAAGTGACATCTCTTTATCTTCTGTATTTATTAATTTTATTGAGAAACAAATAGCAATGAGACAGTTTCAAAGCCAATTAATAGGACAGATTCAATAATTCATACATTGCATATTGTTATCTTCTTAGTGGTTATTCATAGTACAAAATGCAGACATGATATCCTGTCCAAATACTATTAGTACAAATCTTTCTTCTCATTGAATTAAGAGAAAGTAGCCATATATCTATTCTAACTACTTTGTACATGCAGATACAAAATGGTCCTTCGTTTGTATCCCCTTTTTTTGTTTAGTTTTGTTAGAGATGGGTATTCCATTTCCATTTAAATATTGTAGGTGTGTGAATTCAGCAAAATAATCCAATATAGTCCAGTAGTCTATAATAGTAGTGGGTCATCCGTAGGACTGGCAATGTACTGAGCCCTTCTTATCAGTGTTACTGACTCAAGCTCTGTGCTAAGCCCTGCACATGTATGGTCTGATTTCACCCTTACAACAACTCTATAAAGTATGTGTTGTTATTCTCTCCCTATTTATCAGATGAAGAAACTGTGACCATGAGAAGCATAACTCCCTTAAGACCCCGAGGCTAGCAGCTAAGGGGTGGAATCACTTTACAAACCTAGGCAACATGATTCCATGATATCTGGTATTAATCACAAATGAATTCCAGTCTCCTCCAGGCTTGCGGAGTCTCTGATTCCTAGGATCTGCCCCCCAAAAGTTGAATTTTGAACTAGAAATAACTTGCCTGCCTCTCTCTCTCTTTTTCCTTTTTTTCTTTCTTTCCTTTTTTCTTTCTTTTGAAAGGGCTTTACTTTGAAGTCCATCTTAGCTCCAATCCCCACCTCAGCTAGGATAACAGGCATAGACCACCATGCCAATGGAGTGCAGTTTCACATGTGCCAGTTTCAATGCATACTGCAGCTCTGGCCAGTGCATCCTTGGACCTATAGGATCTTGTGCCCAACCCATAGGCAAACTGCAAAAAGAAGGCCTGGATACTCCATAGTGGATTCTCTGTCTCCAGAAATTTGACTATAAAGCCCCAGAAAGAATAGTTAGTACAGGTGTACACAAACAGAAAAGCAAACTGAGAAGGGATACAAAGCATAAACCATAACTCTCTAGCAGCCATAAATTAGAATGGAGGATGGCTGGGCATGGTGGCACATGCCTGTAATCCCAGCACTCGGGAGGCTGAGGCAGGAGGATTGTTTCAAATTCAAGACCGGTCTGGGCTACAAAGTGAGCTCAAGTCCACTCTGAACTACATAGTGAAACCTCCATCTCGAAAAGACCCCCTAATAAAATTAGAATGGGGAAATTAGAGTCTCAAAAAACTTCAGGGCTTTCTCATTTTCTGCAATAAAACCAATACCTCAAAACTGAAAGCAAAACATATTTGCAGTACATTAAAATATATAATATAAACAGGTTCTACCTTAGAAATGAATATATATTAATAACTATATTCAACATAATTTACCATTCTATATATGCCTCCTATCCTAAAGCATTGAAGGCAAAGTAGAAAAATCAAACACCTAGGCTTTGGTGAAGGAACTGTGCCACCTCCTAGCACCTGAGAATTTGAGGCAGGAGGTTTGGCCTCGATTTGAGGCCAGCTTGGGCTACACAGGGAGTTCAAGGCCAGCCTGAACTACAGAGCAAGAGCAAGAGCTCAACTCAGAAAGAGAGCCAGGCAGGCAGGCATGCAGTCAGGAGAAGTAGAAAAGCTCAAAAATGTATCTTTCCAAAACACAAACTGAGTTAGAGTAGACAGACAGATCAAAAGCAAATATTGTATGGGCTAAACAAAATGGGTTTGGATTTAATCTGTCTTATAAACTCTCCATTTAAAGAGGCTTAAATGTGCCTGGCAAAAAGTGGGAGCACTCAGGAGGCTGAGGCTGGATTGACCATTGTGAGTTGGAGGCCAGCTTGGGCTAGATAGTGAGTTCAAGGCTGGCCTGAACTACCTAGTGAGACCCTTTCTCAAAATAAATAAAATAGTATAGTATAGTATAGTATAGTATAGTATAGTATAGTATAGTATACTGTAATAATAGAAAACCTTACCTTGGGGGAAGGAGAGCTTTTTACTTCAAAGAAATGTTTGATTTTGCCCA